GGTCTGAATACTTATGACCATGTGATATTTCAGTTTTTCTTTTTTAATAAACTTGCAAAAATTTCTACATTTCTGTTTTTTTCTGTCAAGATGGGGTGCTGAGTGTACATTAATGAGAAATAAAATGAACTTTTTTGATTTTAGCAAATGGCTGCAATGAAACAAAGAGTGAAACATTTAAAGGGGTCTGAATACTTTCGTACCCACTGTATATATACATAATAAACAGGGTGCTGTAATAAATGCATGTTTCTAAGTGTAAGCGGTTAAACGTGAGGTGATGTGACGGAGGTTATTTATGATGATAGTTACGCTGGATGGAAAGTTAAGCTTCTGGAGAGAGGAGAGAACATGTGCTTTGACAGTCGAGCAGCTCTGAAGGTACGTTTGTACGCTTTTATGCAGTTTGAAAAAAGGTAAATCAGATAATCTGTAGTTTCACTCTCTGATCAAATACTCATGAAACCAGCGAAAGAAACATCCAAACAACTGGTGTGTTTGTGCAGCGTGCCTTTAAGTTCGTTCATTAAATAAAACACAGGAGGAATCCTACGTTTGTTTAAATAGTTCCTTGTCAGCAGAATCAAATTCAAACATTTCACGTGTGCATGACCAGGAGGGTCATAGCTGCACTTCACCCTCCTGTGGGTCCAGACCGGCTCACAGTTCTTCTGCAGATTTTGCATGATGTGTGTGAACAGTTGTTGCTGAAGACCTCCAGGTGTTCGTCTTCTTCACCACGTGACACCTGCTGCGCTGCCGCTCCGGTGGAGGCTCTGCGGGCCTGGAGCCTCGCCGTGCGTTGGGTTGTCCCGGCTGCCGGCTGAGCCGCTGCATTATTAATGTGCGACATGGTTTCCATTGAGAGGCCAGCGGCTCTGTAACTGCAGCCAGCCCGGCCTGCTGCCGTGTGGCGGGGTAGTCTTTAACGTGACCTCCGTGTCCCGCTGGTCTCTGCGGTCTACTGTGAGGAATTTAAGTTTTAAAGCGCTCCTAGCGATGGATATTCTGTGTTACAATATGTTTACCTGTAGAAGGCTTAAACTAAAGCGAGAGTTACTGAATTAGTTGTGCACTGTGAGAAACCAGAGAATTTATGACACCGCCATAAAGTCAGAGAGAGGGGGATGTTGCTAGTTTCTGAGCACAGCCTTCAAGAAGGGGGGTGAATTGGTCAAGGAAGTGACTGACTGAAGTCTGAAGAGTTCAGCCAATCACTGAGCTGATCGATGGGCTGAGGAATGTGTAATATGAGACATTTCAGAGACTTTGGAGGGACAAAGAAACTGTGAATCCCTGGAGAAAATCAGACCTCATCTGGACCACGAGGCGGACACACCAGTCTGTCGTGTGGTGCGGATGGGGCCTCTATTTCATGAAATATTACTATTGATAGTTAATTCAGATTGTAACTGCATTTGCTTTTGTTAGTATATTAAATTCCTTTGACTTAAACTTCAACCAGCTGATTCGGCCCTGCTTAATGATGGAAGAAAGAGAGCCGGGGGGGGGGGCTGCCTCTTCTCCTCTGAACAAGGAGGGGGGCTTTTTCCTTTACCTTTTGTTTGAGAAATTTTGAACATAACACTACATTCAGTCCAGGAGAGGAAAGGTATAAAAGACAACATGGCGTCATCTTAGACTATACCGTCTTCAGTCCTCATCTGTTCCAAAACGTTATGAACTAAACCGTGAAATACAAATCGTTGATAATTATGCGTTGTATCCATATTTACACCATTATAGCATCAGGTTATGAAAGCAGAACGTTATAAACACTTCCTCTGCTCTATGAAGTAGTTATTTAATTATTTAAGCTTTAGTCGTCCCTGTTGGATGATTATTGAGCCTACAAGTTTAAATGTGTTCCCCTGTTGTCTCTGCAGCCCCCCCCCCCGGCGGCGTCATGGCGTCCCGGCTGCTCGACCGTCTGAAGCGCTCCTTGTTTAAAGACGGTCAGGGGGCGGGACCTGAACAGGAAGCCCCATGTGGACAGGAAGAGGAGGGGTTTAAAGAGGATGGCTGGGAGGCGGAGCTGGAGGAGGAGGAGTGTGTGACCGATCGGTTGGGGGGGACGCTGTGCTTCGACGGTGGCGGAGGAGGAGGAGGTGAAGGAGGCGAGGACGGAGGCGAGGGCGAAGGATCGGGGCTGGACAGCGACTCCGACTTCCTGGGAGAGTCGATGGAGGAGGGGCTTAGCAGCACAGGTGAGCTGCTCTTTAACACCTGCGACATCATAAACTTCTTAAAGTGAGGTTTTGCTCATACGAGTGTTCCAGGTGGGATTCATGAGGAGGTTCAGACCTGCTCTGCTCCATTTCATTCAAAAACCAAGAAACGTGTCACACTGTGGAGCTCAACGTCCTGCAGCCAGACATCAGGAGGCGAAGACGCCATAAATATGCTTCATGTATCATTTACGCGTTTGTTCGCTAGAAATGCGTCGTTCGCTGGAGACGCGTTTGCTCGAGGATTTTATTGGTACTGAAGAGAAACTGGTCGATGTGAGATCACATGTGTGAGCCACAAATCTGTTCTTACACGAGGTTCAATGTACACGATCACTATTACATGTAATATTGTAATTAATCTTAGAAGGAAAAGATCGTTCTGCTTCTTATTGAATCCTGTGTGTGTCATTAGTTACTCGCCGAGAAATACACGTGTGTCGTACATTAGAGTCGCAGTAGATTAATGTCACCTGACCCCTCGTCTCACCTGTAGACACCAGTCCTGTGGGCGTGTCCCCGGTGGGCCCCCCCACGTCCTTCCTGCTGACTCGGCATCTTCAGGAGAGCTGGAGGACCCTGCGTGGACTCGGTGGAGGAAGTCCCACCTCGACCGGGAGGCAGCTGACAGACGACTTGCTGTTCGAGGTGACGGACGCCAGCGTGGTGACGGACGCCTCCTCTAAATACGTGGTGAGTTCAAAGAGCCTGGGGGGGGAATAGAAAATCTTTATGAACCGGCATGAGTCGGCACTTTAAAGAGCCTCTTGTCTCCCTCCAGCTGTACACCATCCACGTCATCCAGTCCGGCGGGAGCGACAAGACTCCGGCCGTCATCACCCACCGATACTCCGACTTCCAGCGGCTCCACGCCACGCTGCGTCATAACCACAGAGACCAGATGGAGCGCGTCTGCTTCCCGCGTAAGTAGAAGTCCTATCGTCTTATATTAAAACTGTTTCAACTGCTAAACCAGTTTCCTGTTTGTGCAGGAAAGAAGCTGCGCAGGAACTTCACGGCGGAGACGATCGCCAAGCGGAGCCGAGCGTTCGAGCAGTACCTGTCTCACCTGTGTTCCCTGTCGGCCCTGCGGGGGGCGCTGTGCGTCCGACAGTTCTTCTACCTGACCGACCTGCAGACCGGACAGCTGCTCATCAGGTAACACTGACGCACCGCTCACATCAATGTCCGTTCCAAAACCGGCATCAAAACAGGAAGTCAGTGGTACAGTAGTAAAGCCCGCCTCTAGCTTGATTTGATTGGCCGCCTCGGTCGATTGTGACATTGACGAGCTGGTGCTGAAAATTTAAGAATCAGAGGAGGAAAAAACACAGTTTTACAAGCGACCAGGCGGCAACTTTCGGTTCTTTAAAGTTCTCCAAAGCTTCAAGCGGCATTCTCTCTAGTGTCCACCAGGGGGCGACTCCTCTGGTTG